TTTCAAAGAAATCGCCGACAGCAAGGGCAGGAAGGGGCCACGAACAACTTTTTCAAGCCAGCAGCGGCGACAAACAGCCCATCCTGCAGTTTCAACGAGCATGAGGCAACAGCTGACACTGACACGGATGATGGTGAAGATAGAAATCAAATCGAGATGGGAACTCACTGGACACCCGAGCAAGAGGATGATGAAGATACAGGCATAGTCCCATTGTTGGCCACGAGGATTTTCGAGAATGTAATGCACGCCTTTAGCTCTATTCAACTTGCACGTCGAAGCCGTGGTTTGGATGCAGAAAAGCCTGGTCATCCTTGGAGAGCAAAGATGGATCGATTGGAAGCAGAGGCTTGGAGGCTTTATGCAAAACAGCAATGTGAAGGAGGATTTCACAAGTTTGCAGTTGCAGAGCACTTGCACAAGGCCATCAATTTGTATCCAGCCCGTGGGGAGTTGTACTTGGATCGTGCGCGAAGTCGACTAAATTTTGTTTGTCCAGCTTTGGACCTTGTTCAGATTCAGACCAAAGTTTCAAGCGAGATGCAGCTGCAGATCCTTGAGGATTGTGAAGCAGCCCTGGCTCGGGACAGCAGCTTGCTTGACGCCTTCGACCTTGCTATTCGACTACGCTACATCAGATTTGAGCTTGTGGAGGTTCAGACTTTGGCAGCTCAAGGCCGCAGAAGTGCCTTGGTGAGTTGCAATGCCCGGGCGGGTGATTTTACATCTTGGCGCCGCTGTGCGAAAGCTGTCAGCCGTGGTTTGGAAAGAGCCCAGGGTGCCCTGAAGGTCGCACAGCCACAATCAAGTCTTGTTTCCTCATTTTCCCTCTACTTGGGGAGCGGGGGTCCGAAGGACAAGTTCTTTTTCAATTAAAGGGAGGGGTAGGCCGCTTGAGGTAGCTAGTAGAAGAGGTAGCTAGTAGCTTAAGTAGCTAGTAGCTTGGACGCAGGATAGCTCACCCTTCTTCAAGGAAGCTCCCCCCGCCGCCCTAAAGGCGGCGGGGGAAGCTTCCGTGAAGACGCGCTCGCACTATTCATTTGGTTCCAGATTTTTAGGGAAACTTAACGTTTGTTGTGTTATGGAGCTAAGGCAAAGCAGCACAGGCAAGTGCCCCAGATCCTAGAGGCTGTCAAAGACGCAGCACTCCCAGAAGTTCGAGAGATTTTGTCTACTCGCCTGACAGGTCTTCTTCAACAAGCAGAGACCCAGCGACAGTTTCAGGCCATTCTTGGGATAGGAGTTTTTCAAATGTCGATCATGTTGACCCGTTACCGTATAAGTTCAAGCTAGACCAAAGCAGTGAGTTCCATGGACCAAAGACAACCTGGTAGGAAGCTTACGCAACAGCTGGGGAAGACTCCTGGGCTTCCGCGTGGGGCTTTTAGACCGAGTGCAGTGTGGCCGAATGCTCGAGCAGACTCAAGCATCCTGAGCATGGCGACCTCATTTATCCTGTGGATGTGACATGTTCATGCACACTGCGCGGGCAAAAGACGGCATTTGCTGATTCAAGACCGTGTGCCCCACTTCAAGGTTAGCAGACAGAGATCGTCAGATCTCTATCAACGTCCAAAATTGTGATTTCATCAAGCATCTCTAACCTCCATTCATTCTTTACCATCAGGATTGGCAATTCTGGCAAATCTGCCAACTGGGCAATTTTCAAACACATGATTTAGAGGGTTCCTGCGTGCTGCTGAAGCACACACCTCATAATATCATAGTCTTAGTGCATGCAAAGTTGTCACGGCGCTGGCCGCGGTCTCTACCCTTGTTTTTTTGGATGTGTCTCACCACTCCTTGGCAACAGGAACGCTCACATTGGGGGATATCCACAATTTTTGACACTGCAGATGTCAGATGTCCTATTTCCAATGCAACAATCTCTATGGGATGTCCACACTGGCCAAACTCCCATGCTCCTCCCCTTTATGGATAATGGAATGCCAGCTGAAATGCCTACTTTTGCTCAACGCCTTCAATGTTGGCTATATTGGCTATATAACCCTTATCCACCAAAAGGGGCCCCGCAACAGTGGTGGGAAGCCGGAGCTTGATGCAGGCCAGCAGAGTGGACCGGGAGCTGAGCAGATTCTGGGACTGAAACGGGACGAGCAAAACATGTTTCGAAGACCTTAAAGCTCAGCCTTGGATCCTGGACTTCACCACACATTACTACTACTTGTAGTAGCCAGAAGGCCTTTATGATCCTTTATTTTTTAAGAATATGTTTTCCGTTTCTGTGTGTGTGTGTGTCTTCATATTCAATTTATATAGCTACTTTTTGTTTTATCCTTTTTTAAGGCATCTTCAGGAGACAGGTGACACGCATGTGACTCAATATGTGGGCCGTCGTGCACCTCCACCTGCTCCAAGGGCTCGACCGGAAGATGCTGCGCCTGCTTCAGCAACCCGAAGCGATGAAGCACCTGGCGAACTCAACTACGAGGCCCAAGACATATCCTTTCACCAGTGCACATCGCAGAAGCTTTGATTTCCGTGTAGCCCCATGATCCTGCACAAGCACTTCGCAACAGTTGGGATTATATAGATTAAACTATATTGCCCATACCTGTTGGATAAAAAGGGTAACTTCAAACACCTTTGATGATGCTGAGTGCATTATTGATTCTAGGAGATCGTGGAGGGGAAGAAGGACGCTGTCTTGTTTTGTTGGGTTGTCACTCTACTATGTAGCACCGGTCCCAGAAACGACGTATGAGCACATTGGCAGGATGCAGATGAAGAGTCTGCTGGATCTGATGATTCTGACACTTGATGCATTCGCAGAGTTCTTTGGGTCACACCTTTTTGGTGCCCCTCTAAATTCACAACTTTGTTCTGGCTGGTTTGCTGTATATACTGTACTTACTGTATAGTATACTTTCAATGCAAACACGGACTGACATGGCAATCATCGTTTTGTTCTATACTCCTGTACTACTATACTATCCTGTCTTGACAACCTAGCAAACGGTGACGCTTGTTCAAGGTGCCAAACATGCTGATGGTGCCGTTGTGCAAGTCTACACCCTTCTCCTAGTCCACTTGTGCCTCACAATTTCTGGACATGTTCCCTTCTTATGCCCTTGTGACGTCTAGCATTGTCATGTTTCAATTCGTGGCTAGAGACGCATGTGAATTATATATATTGTTGGGTAAAGCACCTGCGCTGGTAGGACAGTACCCTTGATTTGGCATTTCCTTGCTTGGTCGTGGTTCTGCTTCAATATCATCGTAGGTTGCGTCGCATTGCGTCGCCTTCCTATTCAATGTTGGTTTTTGGCATTGGAGATGCAAGATATGATATGATTTAAAGGCCAAGACCACACGGAGAAAGGCGATGCAGACTCAGGTTGTTTCCATTTTGACAATTTACATTCGGGTGGTTTGGCCTCAGACTGAATAAACTAGTAACAAGGACGTTGCGACGCTACTAAACTAGTAACAAAGGGCATTTCTAGTAGGAGCAAGGACGCTACTAGTAGCTCCTGGCAGTACTACTAGGAACAAGAAGCTACTAGGAGCAAGGGCATCGCTACCAGTAACAAAGGGCAGGTTTGGCCTCAAAGACTGAATAAACCTGTTGTATAACTGGCAAAGCTTCCGAACATGGTGTGGATGCTCGATGGCCTTGTGGCCACTTGAAGCTTCAATCATTCAAGGATATGGACGATGATATTGGCCTGGTTCTTATTTCGCCGGAGGTGCTCGTTTCTCCGCCTTGATGCAGTGATGCTCTTTTCTGAATGCTTACCCAGGTCCAACAGATGAAGAGATCAATGAGATCTTCTTGAAGAGCGCTGACCTCAGACATTATGCGCGTTTTGTGGCGAGATCTTCAGAGAGCATTTGCAACATCTTGCGCTTCCAACTCCCAGGATATAAGATGTCAAAGGAAGAGCTCCAAGGGATGGCCGACAAGATGGGCATTCAATTGAACAACCTGTGCTACTTGAAGCAGGATACGGAAGTCCGGAAGTCTAAATCAAACAAGCCCGCAGGGCTGAGAGCCCGCGGGGCTGACTCCTTGCTGCAGTGCTTTGAACTACACTTGCATGTTGCACGAGGAGTTTGATGCCTACGATGAAGATCGTAGCGGCTACATTGATGTCAAGGACTCTCACAAGCTCACTGAGCTGCCGCAAGCCCTCAAGCTCCTCAAAACGTTCTGGAAAATGTGACCTTGTGAAGGAGCTCAAAGGTTTGTTGGAAAAGCTGGGGGAGGAACTAAGTGAAGAGGAACTAGACCAGGCACTGGTGCTGTGGTCCTGCGGTGGCTCTATTTTGAAGCCCGGTCCCGGACATGTCTTTCAGAGGCTTTCCGGGAGCTCGACAGTGATGGAAGTGGCGAGATCGAGTCTGGCACTGAGCGACGTAGACCAACTCGGTTGTCTCTTTCTGTGTGACTCCTTCCGAGTGGTCTCATCGGAGCCTGTTCGGCCTTGGAATAACTGAGGTTCTTTGAGTTTGTGGAGTGGTTTACATCTGAGGATTAGACGAATGAACGTGCAGGTTTCACACATTTTCATCATGCAGATGCCACTTTAGCATACTCGCATTCAAGGACTTTTTGTTGACACCCTAGTCAGCAGTTGATTCTGTATTTGGCCTTTCTGCTGATGGTGTTGTCAAATGCCAGCACCGGTTATTCTGAATTGACCGAAGGCGCATGAGCGGAGTGCAAGCTATGAAATGTGTGGCATGCATTTTCCGCAGCCTTGGGGCGTGCGCCTTCAAGCACCACGCGGAGTAGCAAGAAGCTACTAGTTACTAGTAACAAAGGGCATCGCTATTAGTAACAGGTGCATCGCTACTAGTAGCAAGAAGCACGTTTTTACGATTTTGCGGGGTGCTGAACGGCATGACGGAGTTTGGAATCGCCTCTGATGAAAAGGACGTTGGCTTTAAGCCATTATCATTGAAAACTGTGCCGCGCCGCTTGAACTCCAAAATCTCTCAGATTTCATTTTGTGGAGTAGTTAGTGAACCTGAAGGCTTGCAGAGTTCCCATCGGGGAAACGCCGGCATCTGAGATTCCGAACCATATATTCTGGAGCTTATCTCATGTGGACCAAGATCTTGCGATCTGTGGAGTGGCTGATCCAGGATGCGAAGCGAGGCTAGGCTGGCTGTTTGGCAGCATTTCAATGCTGTTCATCAGGTCGTTCTGTGTTACTGGTGCTTTGCTGTGCACTCCTGTTGTACTGGCTGCAAACGAAAGCCCGTGACACAATCTACAAACGAGCAATATAGTACCGATACAGGACGAGTAAGGACGAGAAAGCAAAAACAACAACTCACACACACGCACACACACACACTCAACATCTGTTCCAGACGTGCTGGGGGTTTTGCAAAAGCCTGCCATGGCACCTGACACTCCAATCCTCAGTGAGCCAATTGAAGAGGCCAGAAAGCTAGTGAAACATCTTTTGTGCGGCAGTGCGGCCCTTTGATAAGCCTGGTAAGCTAGGTTCTCAGACGGATTTGGAGCAGACATGATGTTCGGGCAACAGGCCGCTGGAGAGTTAGAAGAGCTGTGGCTTAGCGGCTAGGGTTGCTTTCTCTGGATCTCTTTCAGGCGTCCAGGCTTTCCTCACATCTCTGTCCATCGAGCTCGAAGGTACGAGCCTGTGAGTGACATGACACCATTTTGTAGGAGTTTGGGCGGAAGAGCTTGTATCATGTGATTTTAAATATCATGGAATCAGTAGAACTCAAGTCCAGCCAAGGCAATATTGACGACAATCAAATATCTATAATAATGTCCATATAGTTTGTGCACATTGAAGCACCTTTTTGCGGCAGGTGCTTCAACGTCCCAAGGCTGGTGCCTTCGAAGTCCTTCAGTTGGTCAGCGGAGATGCCGTTTCCACTTTGCATCAGGTCTACAGTCACATCAGACACTGCAGCTGCAGCGGGCAGCCCGGCGTGCCCTTTGGCAGGCAGAAAACTACTTCGAAGACGTTGGTGCCTCAGGATTAGCATGCACAACACCTGAAGCACTATCCCGAATCATACGGATCCTAGACATTGTAAATAGAGGCTGTGCGTGTGTCAATTATCGACTAGTGTCAAGATGCACGCTGTGCATCAGGAAACCAAACGCGAAACTCGCGACCATCCGAGAAGGGTGGGCTCAAGACAGCTGAAAACACCTACGGTGCGGCCGCTTCGTGCGGCTTTCGACTTCGCGCGTGCGGCGCTTGCTTTTTGGTTTGGTCGTGGACCTCGTTAGCCACTACCAGTTCTTCATATTGGTAGCGGAGCCCCAGTCCGGGGCTCTGCATGCACTACGCTTTGTCGAGCCAGAAGTCCTGCGTAAGACCCGGGTCACGAACGGTCAAAGGAGCTCTTCACTGGTTGCGCTTGCTTGCATTTGTTCTTCTCTTCACCAACGGCATTGAGGCCAGCAAGCACGACCCTGCCGAGCTCTATCACCTTGCCCTGCCCTACATGGGAAAGCCAGCGAAACAACAGACCCAGGCAGTTTCTTCGACCTCGAGCTCCAAAGATGGCACTGGCTATGTCGATCTTCGTGACAGCTACGTGCCGGTGTTCTCAGGCCAGCCGGCCGACTACAGGGAATGGCGACAGAGGATCCACCTGTATCATCGAAAGATGACCATCTCGAAGAGAGGCAACGAAAGCGTGCTGAACATCGTGGGATCGTTCACTGGAGTGACATGGCGATTGTTCCAAGAGTGGTCGATTGAAGAGTTAGAGAAGGACGGCGCCTTTGAGAGGCTGATCAAGACCCTGGACGCCAATTTCGCCTACGATTCCCGCGTGCAGCTTCCAGCAGATTTTGAACAATACTTCAACCTCCTCAACCGTCCACCAGGTCAGACTCTGCTTCTCTATGTGGCTGACCATGAGGAGGCGTACAGGAAGCTGCAGCAGCACAAGATGGATTAGAGAAGAATGAGGTGATCGAGGCCATGTACCTCATTTTGGGCCAGGACTTCAAAGGCGGTGGCTGGAATGCAGACCGCAATCGTCGCTTTGGCTACAACGCCAACCAGTGGAAGAATCGAGCCTACGCTGCAACTGACGAGGCCGAGTATGAGTATGACTATGACGACTATGACCACTGGGAATCAGGCTACTATGAAGGTGAAGAATGGCCTGAAGAGCCAGACTACGAGCCCGACGAGTCCTACGACTTCGATGAGGACGCTGGCTACTATGGCGACGAACCCTGGCCGGAGAATGTCAACGACACCTCAACAACTCTTGCTCCACACGAGCTTGCGGAGGAGAACGATATGGCCTTTGCATCGTACACAGATGCCAGGAAGAGGTTCCAAGAACTCAAGATGTCCCGTGGCTATCTCCCCATAGTTGCTCTGACTGATTCACAACATGGAGGCCAAGCACCTACCTCACCGACTACGTCACCCTCGAACTGGAGAGCAAAAGGTAAGGGGAAAGGCAGCTCTAGCAAATCCAACCATCCGCTATCCTCCACAAGGAGCTGGACACTTTGACCCCAAAGGAAGAGCCAAAGCAAACATGACTTGCCTTCGCTGCGGACAGCCTGGCCATTGGGCAGCAAATTGCCCACAGAATTCCTCCGGATCTTCTCGCACCGGCCAGAAGAGGCCAGCGCCTGCTGCGACTGAAGGCATGGCGCTACAGACCACCTTCCAGGTCGACGAGATGGCCATGCTTTTGTTCCAAGACCATCAAGGCAATGAACGTCCAGACTGTGTCATGCTTGACCCTGGAGCAAGTGCCTTCCTCAGTGGGTATGGCCCCTTTAAGCGGTACCTGGACCACCTGAAGTCCTTCGACTTTCCGATCGAGCGCATCAAGGGCCGACGCCGTTTCCAATTCGGCGGTGATGCTGCACTCTGGTCGGACTGGTCGGTTCATCTCCCGACCTTCATTGATGGCAGGTACGGCACCATCGAACTGTTCTTGCTGCCTGGAGGTACACCGATGTTGTGTGGTCGCCCCATCATTGAGGCTCTCGGCATCACCATGGACTTTGCTCGCAAGCGGCTTCGCTTTGGTGCCTCTGGGTGGGTCGATGCGACCTTGGGCCGACAAGGTGAATTTCTTTGGTCCCTGACCTCCGAACATGACAACATGCAGTACAATGTCGAGCAACCTGACTTTGAACTGCGAACAGCCGACCCTGAGGTCAAGCAACCACCTGCCCGACTTCCTGGACGCTGAGACGCTGAGCATGGCTTCACTGCTTGCGAAGAGCTTGCGACAAAGGAGGACAAACCCGAGATTCGCACCCTGAAGCAAGAGCTCAAGACTATGGATGTGCACCTTCGTACTCACCTCAACAATCTGTCAGCCTTCGTGACAAAAGAGCTACATCGTCCAGAGCGACCTCGCGTCCTGTGGGAGGTGTACTGTGGTACAGCACGCACCTCACAAGTGGCAGAAGCGATGGGCATGGAGGTCAGACGATTCTCCTATGAGACTGGCTGGGACTTTGATCGTCTAGATCATCAAGAGCAGTTCCTCATTCTCCTTGAAGAGGAGCAGCCCGACGAGGTCCTGGTCACTCCCGAGTGTAAGCTCTGGTCACGGATGCAAAGCCTTGGCCGTCGCACCTGGCACCAACAAGAAGCGTTGATCGCTGCAAGAGCGAGACACCATGACCGCCACCTCATTTTCATGAAGAAGGTCTATATGGCCCAGATCAATGGCGGTCGACATGCTACAGTGGAGCAGCCGAAGCATGCCCTGTCCTGGCGCGCTCGTGCACTCCGTGATCTTCCAAGTCGGCGAGCTGACTTCTCCCAGTGCCGGAACGGGGCACAGTGCCTCGACGCTGATGGCATTTGGCGCCCGGTGCGGAAAGACACCACACTTCTCACGAGCAAGCGCTCAGTCCAAGATGCTATGAGCTTGTGTTGCCAGAAGGATCATCAACACTGTCACCTTGAGGGTGCAGCTCCTGGCTATGGTTCTCGCACGCACTACATGGAGGAGTACCAACCTGGACTCGCTGCCACTCTTGCAGGAGCGCTATGCATCGATGAGGCACCCATCCATTGGGAGACCGCATATGCTGGAGAGGAGGAGAAACAAAGCACTGGATCCCTCATCAAGCTGAAGGCCGACACCCGACAGGAGGCCATCAGAGTCGTACAACGACTTCATCACAACCTTGGTCACCCTGGACCTGAAGCTTTGGCAGAACTCCTTGCTGCTCGTGGCGCTTCTGAATCCGTCATCAATGCTGCGAAGGGCTATGTTTGCACAGCCTGTGCCAAGTACAAGCGCCCAGCACAGACAGCTCCTGCCTCAACGCCCAAGACCAAGGACTTCAATGCGCTGGTCATGGCCGATGTCTTCTGGCTCCGACGCGGAAGCACCAAGTTTCCCATCCTGAGCATGGTGGACGCTGCCACTCGCTACACAGCAGCCATCCTGTTGAAGAATGAGCAGTCTGAACAGTACATCCGGGCTATCGAGAAGTCATGGATCTCCGTGTTTGGTCCTCCAACCGTCCTGATGACAGACGAAGGTCGCCCCTGGCTTGGTCAAGTCATGGATACATGGACAACTGCTCACAACATTGAGCACGTGGTTGCCCCCGGAGAAGCACATGAGCGCCTGGCCATCGTTGAGAGGCGTCATGCCCTGATACGCCGTGCTGTGGAGATCTACTTGAATGACCAGCACGTTGACAATGCGCCAGGCATCAAAGAGGCCCTTGTCTATGTGATCCCGCAGCTCAACGCATCTCCAAGCGTGGCAGGCTTCAGTCCCGCTCAATGGGTACTTGGTCATCAACCCAGCATGGCTGGAGATCTCTTGGCCGACAACACACAGGCACCTCAGTTTGGCGGAAACGCCATCTTTGAGGAGATGCTCACCAAGCGCCACGCTGCCAAGAAGGCTCTTCTGGATGCTGACGCTGATCGTCGCCTGCGACGAGCTCTCAGCTTGAAGTACAAGGGCACCAATGCCGAGTACAGCCTTGGGCCAAAAGGTATGGTTCTGGCGAGATGCCAAACAACCTGATCTTGTCAAGATCCGTTGGCTTGGTCCCGCACAGGTTGTCATCAAGGAGTACAAGAAGGACGACACCGAGAACCCTCAGGTGAACGTCTACTGGCTGGTTTCAAGACTCAGTTGATCAGGTGC